GGGGGGGCGGTGGCCGCTCCCGGCCACTGCAGCCTCGACCTGCCGGGCTCCGGCGATCCTTCGCCTCAGCCTTCCGAGTAGCTGGAACTACTTTACTTCCAAGTACCTCGAACGCTTTCTAATGGTTATGCTGAGGCAAAAAGACTAAACCCTTTCACTGGGGACTCTTCCAGTGAGGTTTATAAGGAGTTTTAATCTTTGCAGCCATCTTTCTGCACTGGGCAACAAGGGACTCTAGGAATCCAAGTCGTTCTATTCCTTTGTTCATTATCTGTGCTAAAAAACTTACATGTTAAGCAATGACTCCAAAACAATTGCAAAGACACTTAACTCCAAATCACAGCCATTAGTTAAGTCAAGGGGCTGATTATTCTCAGGGGTTGCTAGAATCTTGAAACAGAATTAAGCTTTTGTTAAAGAAATAAGAGTCATAGTCAACGGAAAGGCTGAGGAAACAAGTTATTGAGAGGCAGTTGTTAATTGTTCAGAAAAGGAAAAAGCAAAGAGAACCTAATAATGTCAGTCTTTAAAATTATAGTGAGTAAAATGCTGGGGGGGCGGGAAGGGGAGGTGGCTCACTTCTGCGGTGCCAGCTGCTCAGGAGGCTGAGGCAGAAGATTGCTTGAGCCCAGGAGTTTCAGACCAAGCTTGGGTAACATAGGGAGAGTCTGTCTCAAATAAACAAAATGTAGTATGAGAAAATGAAACTGTTCTTCTCTCAAGCAATGTGATCAAAGTTTTGATAACACACATGATAAATTGAAACAACAATTGGTTTTCTTTTTTTTTTTGAGTTGGAATCTCACTCTGTCACCCAGACTGGAGGGCAGTGGCCGCTCCCGGTCACGGCAGCCTCGACCTGCCAGGCTCTGACAGTCCTTCCACCTCAGCCTTCCAAGTAGCTGGAACTACAGGCACGCTACCACGCCCGGTTCATTTTGATTTATTATAGAGATGAGGTCTCACCAAGTTGCCCAGGCGGGTCTCAAACCCGCGGGCTCAGGCAACAATTGGTTTTCTATGCTGGTTGATGAACAACAGATTTTACCAATACATGTCATATCTTAACATTTATAACATGTATAAATAAGGTGAAATTCAAGGACTTTTTTTTTTTTTCTGCAAAGGCCTGTCCCCAACAGGCAAAAGCCAAGATGCATTAATGTTCTGCTTTCTTATCTGGAATCAAAAGGTCCCACCTGGAGGAACCATGTGGGCATCTATGCTGATGGAACACACTGATGGTTAGATCCAGGCTGGGCAAAATGCAAAGGAAATGCTCACTGTGTTCATGACACACTGCTTTCATCACAGAGGAGTGCTGGTGTCAAAGCCTGTCACAGAAGACATTTGAAAAGTTTGGGTGATTGGGTGGTGGTCTGCTCATGTCATCACAAAGGGGCAAGCAAGCGCAGGTCACTGAAGTCAGGTGATGGACCAAAGGCAGAGGGGTGGGTTAGTCACATGATTGCGGCCATGGTGGGGCTTATCTGTGTCACACAGGTCACAAAGGGCTGATCAGATTAACCCTGGGTGGGGGGAAGGATTCCTGCAAGAGACTTGTTAGACATTTGCAATTTACAAACTCCTTGACCAAAGGTGGTTGTATTATTACTTTTATGACTTTGGTCAGACAAAGGGTGACCTTTGATCTTCAGCCTTGACAAGGAACCTAAAAGTTTACTAGAGATTATTATGCTAAACCATGAATGGTTGGGGGATCCTGGTCTTGCATCTGAAGGAGATTTGCTGAGGGGGATGGGATAGGCTGCTGCCTGTTCTGTAGTAGAATGTCTGAATGCTTTCTAATGGCCATGCTGAGGCAAAAAGACTAAACCCTTTCACTTCCATCTTAGCTGCCTGCCTGACTTAAGAATCACACTTCAATGCCTACCTGTGATTACAGTAATGTTCCCGTGACCTGGCTTATAATGAACATTTTGTTGATGTTTTTAACATATTAAATGTGTAAATAAACTTTTTAATATGAAAGAAACATCAGAAATTGTCTTATTTCAGCTGAAAATGAAATCTATGTGTTGGACCAGCACATATACTAGCAAATTCCATTCCTTAGTTTTAGTTTCAAAAAAATGTTTAGGCCAGGCGCGGTGGCTCACGCTTGTCATTCCAACACTTTGGGAGGCTGTGGGGAGAGGATTGCCTGAGCCCAGGGGTTTAAGAACAGCCTGAGCAACTTGGTGAGACCTCATCTCTACAATAAATCAAAAAATTAGCCAGGCGTGATAGCGCACACCTGTAGTTTCGGCTACTTGGAAGGCTGAGGCGGAAGGATTGCAGGAGCCCAGCAGGTTGACACTGGGGTGACCTGGAGCATGCCACTGCACTCCAGCCTGGGTGATGGAGTGAGACTCCGACTCAAAAAAAAAAAGTATTTAAAACCTTTTAATTCTTTTATATAGACCAATAACATAGATCAAGAAAGTAATACGTATATCATTATTATGTAATTGCTAGGCATATATGAGACTCTGATCATGCCATAAAGGAAATGTTTTCATTGTCTTGGATAAAAATTGCCTCAGGCTATTTTTATTCATATTGCTTTTTTTTTTTTTCAATTTTAGTACCTTTTCTTTTAAACACTTCCAATAATTTTTTTTTTTTGAGTTGGAGTCTCACTCTGTCATCCAGACTCAAAAAAAAAAAAAAAATGCCGGGCTCGGTGGCTCAGCCTATAATCCCGTGCCTTTGGGAG